AGAAATCATTACGAAATAGATAAGAAGAGGATGGAGATAATCTTGAAGATGTATTATGAAAATACCAAAAGCTTCGTGCCAAGAAACTCTAAACATGCTTGAGAGCTAGAAATTTGGGTTTAACAAGAAGGCATCCATGTGGCAACTTATAGTACCCGTAAGATAAAAGATATGGTAACAACTCTAAAACATAAATAATTATTCCAAACAATTTATAATATATTTATTTCATCTTAATCTAATATAATATAACATATATTTTTCAATATACATATAATTATTACTTATAGAGACAAGTTCCTTAAGACGAGATAGAAAACTTATAACTATTACAACGTGAATTTATTTTTATTTAATGGGAACTATAATTTTTTGACTACGAAGATATTTTAATAGAGTAAGTTCTATGATTATTATATATAATATATATATTATATTAATATATAATATATATATTAAAATATTTTTAAAACTTACCAACAAAGTGGATTAATTTATTCTTGTTAATCTTACCCATTAAAGTAGTAAATATTTACTGATTTATCTCTCTCATGATTAATCCCAAGGCTAATTGTCTGTAAACAAAGATAATCTCGCTTTATTATAGGATTCTTGTCATTTTGGAAGAACGTGTTAAATTAAACCCACACAGAATATTTAAGTCATGACATCCCCGTAATTATCCATGTTTGTCATATTTTAACAATAATTAATTATTAACTAAGAGACAAGTCTTTTCTTTTTAAACCATCACTTTAATTATTGCTCCAAGGACCTAGTTGACCACAATTTTTTTAAAAGTTAAATTAAAATAAATTAATCTTTTTAGGAAATAGAAAATATGTTTCACCCATAATGATGTTTTTTGAAATGTTAAATTTTACTATTTATAATTAAAATGACTCGTTTATCAAGAATATTAATTTTTTTATTATTATTAATAAAGAAAAAAGGCATCTGCAAAGATTGCTTTTACCTGTCAAGGGACAACAACTTTTACTATTAATCTTTAAATAAATAAAATAAGTAAAGGACATATTCCCACCCAAGGTTTGACGAAATCTCAGTTGGCACCACAGTTTCCATTTATTCTATATTCCCACCCTTAAAATAACACTATTAACATTTTTTAGGATAGTGAGAGTGCAATTACCATAATACCCTTTAACACTAAATTAATAAATTATATTTTAACCCCTAAATTACTAAAATTATAAAATTAACCATCTTATTTTGAAATTACATCAATTACACCCTTAATGACTGTGCACCGTCTCGGTTTTCACTGGATCTAGGCTATTTTTGATGCCGGCGAAACCCCTGGTCACCTCCATCACCTTCCCATCATCGGTTGTCCAAAACCCCTCTGTTTCCCGACTCATTGGGCCCTCCGATCGCCAGTGCCGTCAAGCTTAGGTTTTCGTCGTTCTTCGTTGGATTCCGGCGATGAAAATCTAATTCGACGTCACCACTGCAACCAGCGTCTCCTAATCTACAAAACCCCTATGTCCTAATAACCGTTTAGTGGCCATTCGCCGGTGGACACCGACGAAAACCAGTCGCATGTGGCGGCTGTCGTGGTTGGAGATCGGCCGACAATGAAGGGTTGTCAAGGGTATGGTTTTGTAGAGGGGAGGATGAGGGTTCGAATGGTGGTGACAATGGTGATTTTGGGTGGAAGAATCATCGAAAAAGAGCGAAAAACGACAGCAGTGATGTTGCTAACGTGCGCCAAATATTTGTTAGGGGCGACGATTTGCTAATGTGCGTCTCCTTTGTGAAATGACCAATTTACTCCTGAGCCGTTATATCTAACTATTTTCCGTTACTTTAAGGGTGGAAATTGGAATAAATGGAATCTGTGGTACTAACATGGGATTTCGTCAAACCTTGGGTGGGAATATGTTGTTTACTCAATAAAATAATAAGTTAGGCACATAAAATTGCAGAATTAGCTCATATTTAAATATATTATTTAGAAGTGCAATATTAATTAATTAGCTCTACTAAGCCTGATAAAAATCGCCTAAATGGTTAGCCCACAATCTTTTTCATATTATTATTAGAAATGTATCACGTGCTTTCCAGAATATATATTTAATTAATTTTAATATTTTTAAAGTTTAAAAATATTGGAAAGAAAATATTAGAAAGGTCCTACATGAAGGGAAAGGGGCAGACCAAAACAAACTTCATACAAACCTAACTTTGTAAGTAATTGAAACTCAATCAATCAATCAATCAATATCTAATTATCCATTCTCAATCCCATTATATTTTTGGTTTTATATAATAATTTTCTATTTCCAAAAAAAATATTTTATAAATTTATATAAGACTCGATTTTTTTTTTCATTCTAAATACCGAAATTATTTAAAAAAATTATTTGAAATTATAACAAAAATCATCATTAATCTATTAAAGTTACTTCTTTTTTTTAATTTTAAACTTTTTTTTTTATAATAGAAAAAAATTTACTTGATAAAATAATAAGTAAAAAATATTTATTTGTAGCTATACCAAATCCTAAATAAAATAAATACAAATAAATAGTTGGTAGGGTATATAAGATACACACAAAAGAAACTCCAATATCAAAGTAAGAGACTTCCTGTACTATGGCAGACACAAAGGTGTACCTTATGAAGAGCAACTTTTTTTTTTTTTGGAAATATGTTTAAGCCTCTACTTTTCTTTTTAAATTTTTCATAAAATAAAATTCTTATATTTATTAATTTATAAATCCTAAAAAATATTAATATTATAGAATATTTATACTTACTCCATCTACCAGTATAAATATTTTTATTGAATGATATAATTAAAAATAAATATGTTTAATAGAAATTAATATTTAAACTTTTAATATATATTTCTCATTTAGGTTTATCAAAATTAACTAATTGAATAAATATCATAATGAGTAATATAAACAATTTAACTCTTAAACATATAAACTATAAATTACATTTAATTTAATTTAAGTAAACTTTTATTATTAAAATTAAGATACTAAGATCGATATGATCATAAGTGAAATAATTAAATAACTATTATTTTGAATAAAATCACATATTGATTAAATTTTCATTCATAATATAAAATAAGAGCTTTAATTTTAATTCATTAAATAAATACGTATTTTTAAATGTGTAATATTATTTTCATATAATATTATATACATAAACGAATAATCTTAAATATAAAATTTAATTTCTTATATTTATAAATGAAAAAGCCGAGTATTCAATAATTTAAACATAAATATTAAATAAATAGAGCCTGTCAGTTTTAGTCCCAAATTCACCCTTAGAAAAGAAACCAGAGGCTGAGTAAGACTGTAGCAGGACTTCTCTAAAAACTTAAAAAATAAAGTAAATTATGAGAATTTTAAAACTACCCTTCACTTTTTGCTAATCATCAGATATGACACTTTTGTGGGAAATAGTCAAAAACCACCCTTGAGAATGAGCCCTAACCTAACGCCTCTCCTTAATTTGATAGTTGAAACTTATTTATTTTATTTTATTCTATTCTAAATAGGACTTAATGGATTTAGATGGGTTGCATTGAAATAGATTAGGTCCCATCAAATTTAAGTTTTCGAGAGGGTCAGGAATGGATGTTAAATAAACTGATAGATTTCAATTCATTGTATAAGATTTGACTCGATCACAATTTACAATGAAATAAACTGACAGTTTTTCAGAAGGGTTTTTCTCTTTGGTTTTTTATGTTATATTTATACAAATATCTCAACGGTTTCTTCATGTTTTTTTTTTTTTAATATTGGTTAATAGAGTTATAAACTATTTTCAGATAAAAAAAAAAAAAAAAACTATGAAAAGATGGGAAATTTTGGATGTTTGTTTTGTCAGCCAAAATTTGAGTTTTATATAAAATGTTTGTAACATTTAATATTTAAACGATGAAGTGACATATAAAATAACTATCTTAACCTCCTTGTAAAAGCATAAAATTTCAATAAAAGTGTAAAACTTAATGGCCTTTATAAAATTTGATTGAATATAAGGTTTACTTTATTATTATTATTTTTTTATACCAATGAGATTGCTTAGAATTAAACTCATCTGGTTGTTCAAAAAGATTTAAAATAATCCTATAACTATAAAAGAACTCAAAGGTCTCGTTTGGATTGAAGGATTTTAAAAACTATAGATTTTGTATAATTTATGGATTCAAATCCATATGTTTGATAAATTCTATTGTTTAGTTTATAAAATTTATGGATTATTGATTCAAACTTTCATACCCTCATGTTTGATTAGATAAATACAATCCATGAATTTGATAAATAATTTATAACTTTACCTTCAATATCCAAAACCAACCAAAATTTAACTTCTATCATATTAAATATAAGTTAAATTATATTTGATAGAGAAGTCCAATTATTCTACTAGGAGGAATTATAAAACCCTAAAAAATGAAGGATTATGAAGAGCGATGGATTTTCCCAAAAAAAAAACAAAAATAAAATTATCTCTTATAAAATTATTAAAAATCTCGGAATAAAGAGTATTAAATACTTAGATAAGGAAGCAATGATCTGATAAGGGATGATGACATAAACCTTTGAAAATATAAAAGGCAATTTGAATTATAATTGGAAGTGAATAATGGAATAACAAGTGAATTAAGAAAATCCCAAGAGCAATAAACAAAATTGATGGGTAAAGGAAAGTCCAACTATTCTATTGACAAAAAACTAAACAAAAGCACACAATTCTAAACAGCAATAAGAAAATGATAGTCAGAAACATAAAGACAAAAGCAAAGCTAATTTTTTTAACCCAAAGTGATAACAGTGTACACGTGCACATGGGTTTAGTCTTCGTTACTTATTACAAAACCAACGCTCTCTCTCTAGTCTGTGCACGTTTCTCTAAGCATTATGCAAGAACGGAGACACCCAAATGAGCCCCGTAAATTACACAGTGATTGTGTGACTTCAACTTATTTATTTTATTCCTATTATAGGAATAAAGAAAGAAACAGAACAAATTTATCTACAGAATAGAATTTGATACTCTCTGCAGAATCATTCTTATGCTTTCTTTCTTTTAGTTGGTTGTGAATGTGAACATACATTCTCCTGCTACGGTTCCTTTCTGGGGAAACAAACACCTTTCTCATTCTGCTTCCTCTGTCTGTTCCCATTATCTTAATCAGTGACTTTCTTTGTTGGAAGAAATTCTCTGCCAAAAATGGTTGAAGAAGAGTTATTAACAACACTTCCTTTTGATAGGACTGTTGAACAGGTTCTTATTGTGTATTATTGTTCATGATGTTATGTGAAAATAAATCTTTTTGCAATTATTGTAGTACCCTTTTGTGTTCTGGAACTAGTGATTCAGTGTTTGTAAACTAAATTTCTGATTTTATCTTGTAAATTTATTGTGATTTTTGGGCAGGCAATTCTATCTATAAAGAAGGGTGCTCATCTTTTGAAGTGTGGAAGAAGAGGGAAGCCCAAATTTTGCCCTTTCAGACTCTCCTTGGTAACCTCATTTGCATGCTGCCGCTTTGTGAATGATCAGAGTTTTATGTTTAATTTTGCAAAGGAAACTTGAGTCAACTCAGTTGGCCTTCTTATCACTAAAATAAATTTGAAACTTCGTATACATGTGTTTATGGTTGCACACGGAAACAACCATCTTTCTTTTTTCTTACCTTTTTACACTTGCCTGCTAATTAGCTGCTGTCTCCATGTCTTTTAGAATATCTATATATGTATATATTTTTTTGTCATCTGCTTATTCAAGTGTTTTGTTAATTTATGGAATAATATATATATCTACATAAATTCTTCCAATAGACTGAAATGATAAGAAGATTGAGAACAGTTGAATGCTTTAGGTACCGTGTTGTACACAACAATGATCAATTTGTTCACCTGTGAACAAGGCTGTTTTTGATGATTTGTTCAAAGTCACTGATATATAATTACTCTTTTATTCTATTTTATATATTTTTATCCTAATCATTGAGGGTAGTGAATTGTAATAGAACCATGTCGTACTCTAGGGGGGGTTTTTCAATGGAACCCTGGAGTGGAACTTACCACGGTTCTGATTGCACGCTACAGAAAATTTATTGTAACTATAGTTTGCAGAATTATCCATTACTCTTTTCAACTGAATGACTTGCTATTATGAATAATATCATTTAAATGCTGTTGAAACACTGTTAAGTATGGTAAAGAAAGATAACCAATCTATGAGAGTATATCAGCTAAGGATATTTGGTGGATTGAAGGAAAAACTACTGTAAAGCTTATCTTAGAGTTTCCGGACTGTGTGATTCGTTTACGGACGTTTGTTGTCAACTACTTAGTGATATGGTAGATGAAAATACATATACTTTGATTAAACATCTGTCTGCTCTGTATTTACTATTTAAATAATGCTTTCAATGGCACCATTTTTGTAATGAACTGACCGAGGTCACATTTCTGTGACATTCACAATTGGATCACCTGGCAAGTCATTTTCTTCTTCTCTGCATTGGTACCGTTTAACAGCAACCTCTCCTAATTTCTTGCATTTTGATTTATTATGCTGTTTCTCTGTACTTCTGGAAAATTTACAATGGATGATTGCAACTTCAATTATTTTGCAGGATGAAAAATTCTTGATTTGGTATTCTGGGCAGAGAGAAAAGCAATTGAGATTGAGCTCAGTTACAAAGATTGTTACTGGGCAGAAGACTGTATGTAACAAATGCGAATGTCTTATGTGAATTCTTTTGGTTAAACTGTATCACAGTGATGTACTTCTCATTTATATGATGGTGAAATTACCTTTTGCAGATAAATTTTCAGAGGCAACTTCAACCAGACAGGGAGCTGCAGTCTTTTTCACTTATCTATGCGAATGGTGAACGCTCACTTGATTTGGTAATAAAACCCATTGGTCTATTTGCACATCTTATGATCTTAATTTTCTTACCTTTTTCATTTTTACTTTCTCAGCCAATATTGGTAGCTTAATTATCTTTCCTTTATTACTTTTTATAGATATGCAAGGACAAAGTTCAGGCTGATTCATGGTTTATCGGCTTGAGAGCTGTGATATTGAGGTGTCACCGTTCCAGGCCGTGTGCTTCTTTGAGGGGCCGAAGAGGGATACAAAGCTGTGTTAGTAGCCCAGCTAGTTATATCAGAAGAAAACATAATCTTGGACTTGTAGAGGATGCCACTGAGTTATCTCAGGTTTTAAATACCCCAATATAGTTTACTGCATAAGATACTATGTTTATTTGTAGCTATGATTTTCTTCTTCAAAAAGAATGTATAGTGCAGAATAAGATTGTTGGCATGGTCATAGTTAGTCAGTAATTAAATCAGTTTAATTAGGTAATGCTTATGAAATGTTAGAAACTTTTAAGTACAAAAAAAAGTTGCTAATGATTTCAGGGATAATTGGGGAAAAAAAAAAAAAAAAAAAAAAAAGAAATGGTATGTATAAGTTTATACATATAAAATTTTGTCGATTTTCCAGTTTGTCATTTCTAAAGATAGCATAATGGATTCCTGGAGAATGCAACCGAGTATTCTTAGATTTCAAATACCATCTCGTTTCTGTGTTACTTTACAAGATACTGTTCTATCATGGTTTCAAGTTTTAATCTGGGAAATTATTCCAATTTTATGACTTGGATATCAGTTAAAATGTGAGATGTGCTCATACATGTTTTGTCTTATGTGTTGGGGTTTATTTTCTCTGAGAGCATCCTTGTTACTCCAAGTCCTTTGTTCGTCCCTCAAATCCTGATTTTGGTCTTTACCGTGTAGAATCTGTGTTTCTGCTTTGCTTTTTTTAGTATAGTAATGAAATTTTAGAATCATACATTTTACACTTTACAAGACCTTGCTTACACAAAAATAATCTGTTTCTGGACAAACTGACCACAGTGCAGCAATATTAAAATAATTTTTTAAATATATATAAGTAAGCTCAATTAAAAATATTGGATGATAAGATGATGCCACTATGATAATTCAGTGGTGTTTTAGATGAATGAAATCTGATGCTCGGATTACAAATGGATTCAGATATTTTATATTTAATTTTTCATATTCTATTTATTTATTTATTTATTTTTCAACAATTGAGTGTCACTGATCTGTATTTTCCTATAGTTGTTAAGGTAGACTGTCTGTGATTATCCATGTTAACTTGTTTTTTTTCTTTTTTCTTTTTTCCTGATTTCGGCAAAGAATATGAGATAATATCTTCTTCATGATTAATGAATATGACCAAGAATATATCAATTTTCTACTTCTGATTTTTGACCAAGAACATGGCATTTTATCTGGTCATGATTAAAGAAAATCTGCAACCTTACCCTTAAATTAATGTGGTTCATTATGTTTCATCTTGAAGGTACGCAGCTTATGTGGGAGTCCTTCCCTTTCACTTTCAGAAAGGTGTTTTTCTGATGGTTTATCATATTCTTCCAAAAGCTTTTATTCATCCGAATCAAGTTTATTACATGTGCAAAATGTGGTGAACATCTCAACTCCAAACTCTAACTTCACTGAAACAGACAATTTTGAGAAGTGGGCATCAAATTATACTGGCAAAGAGTGCCTAAAGAATGAGTCTCAAAGGTTTGTAGCACCTACTTATGGGTCACCACTAATAGAAAAAGAAGATGTTCTGAAGGATGTCATGATCTGGGGGGAAGGAGTATTTGGAGGAATTATTGGTGGTGCCAGTGACTGTTCTGCCAGCCAAAATAAAATGGTGGTCGATGCTCTGTTGCCTAAATTGCTAGAATCAACCAAGATGTTAGATGTACAAAGTATAGCTTTGGGGGGTAAACATGCAGCCTTAGTTACGAAACAAGGGGAAATTTTTTGTTGGGGAGAGGGGAAAGGTGGAAGGCTTGGGCATAAAGTTAATGTGGATGTGAGCTACCCAAAGCTTGTTGAATCCCTGAATGGGGCAGTTGTACAGTATGTGTCATGTGGCGAATTTCAAACATGTGCTCGAACAAAATCTGGTGAACTGTATATTTGGGGTGACAATAATCATGGTGCTGATATGGTGGGTGAGATGGGAAGTAGAAGCCACTGGCTTCCACGTAAACTTTGTGGTCCTTTAGATTGTGTAACTATATCAAAAGTAGCATGTGGGGAGTGGCATACAGCAATTGTCTCCACCTCTGGGCAATTATTTACATATGGAGATGGAACTTTTGGGGTTCTTGGGCACGGGAATCTGCAAAATGTTTTCCAACCAAAAGAGGTTGAATCTCTAAGGGGTTTAAGGGTAAAATCTGTTGCATGTGGACCATGGCATACAGCTGCAATTGTGGAGATCATGACTGATCGTTACAAATCTGTTGCCATTGGTGGAAAACTGTTCACATGGGGTGATGGTGATAAAGGGAGGCTTGGACATGCTGATGGAGAGAGAAAGCTTTTACCAACATGCGTTGCACAACTTGTGGATTTTGATTTTGTTCAAGTTTCTTGTGGCAGAATGTTGACAGTTGGACTTACCAGTTCAGGCAAGGTTTATACAATGGGAAGTGCAGTGCATGGGCAGTTAGGGAACCCACAGGCCAAGGATAAGTCAATAACAGTTGTTGAGGAGAAGCTTAAAGAGGAGTTTGTTAAGGAGATCTCGTCAGGATCATATCATATTGCTGTCTTAACATCAGGAGGAAATGTTTACACATGGGGGAAGAATGCAAATGGACAGCTAGGGTTAGGTGATATTCAAGATAGAAACTCACCAGCTTTTGTTGAGGCTTTGCGTGATAGGAAGGTTGAGAGCATAGTTTGTGGATCTAGTCTAACTGCTGCAATTTGTTTACACAGATCTATCACTGTTAGTGATCAATCAGCCTGTAGTGGTTGTAAAATGCCTTTTGGGTTCAGGAGGAAGAAGCGTAACTGCTATAATTGTGGTCTTCTCTTTTGCAGTGTTTGTAGTGGGAAAAAGGTTACAAATGCATCACTGACACCAAATAAAGATAAGCCTTCTCGTGTCTGTGATACATGTTTCAACCATTTGCAGAAGGTCACACATTCAGGAAGATTACTAAAACTGGAAAATCGTAGTCCAAGGAGTCTAATGAACTCACAAGGGGTTTTGTCTGAAGAGAAAGATGAGAGGGGAGAAGTGACTCCTACAAGGGGTCAGTTATATTCAAGTAAACAGATTTGTGATGTAGAATGCAAACCTGGGGAACCAAGAACCTTGAAAACTCGAGGAGAAAGGCAGCAACACTTAGAATTGGTCTCTTCTTTGACTTCTGGATTGCAAAGATGGGGGCAAGTCCCCTGCCCAATCCAATTTGAAATGCACCGTGTTGATAATTCTCTGGCACTTGCTCCTCTTTCAAATAATCAGTTGTCTTCTTGCTCAGCACTTTCTGCTGGATCAAATTCTAGTATTCCTATTGCCTTTAAAGAAGACAAAGTCTTGTCAGAATCAAACAAGACTCTCACTGACGAAGTTCAAAGGCTGAGAGCTGAGGTGATTGCTCCATTTGTGTTTCAGAGTTTTAAAGTTGATTGTTATTTGATTACACCTCGGTATTTGCTTGTATCATATCTGTTTCTTCTTTACTCCAGTTCATAGACACACAAAAAATGTAAAACATTGGCTTGAAGACACACTCAAAGGGTAGCAGTATCTTATATTTGGTTTTGGCCATAGATTAGTACACTATAGCACATCCTTTTTGGTATTCTTGTGTTGCTCCTGGAATGTTTGTAACATCAGATTGGTACCTTGGCTGCCAAAATTTGCACTTTGTCTGCCTTCTAGCTCCTTATAAACTACAACTTGATATACTACCTGTTTTAGAATCCTACATTGACTTAAACTTGGTTTGATATGCTTCCTATACCTGATATGCTTTGTGCCTTACGGCTTAAGTTTGTGGATTGGTTTTCTCAATCATGATATTGAAGCCTATAAATGCTACTCCATTTTGTGGACCTTCCCTTGTCTATTATCTGAATTGACTTGAATAGATTATTATAAAATTGACTTGAACATTGGACAGAGTATGAATTATACAACTGTGTTTAGTATTTTGGGAATACAGGTAAAATTTTATTGAATAGTAGCTTTCTTCTGAATGAACCACCAGGAGCTTTCCATATTTCTGTTTCTGCGAAGAAACTCTTACGAATTATTATTGCATACTGGGTCAAATTACTGCTAAAGTATACAAATAGAAGAAATCAACCACCACCTATTCTAAAATCTTCACTTGGTCTTCTGTTTTCTTTTCCTTATATGGAATTCAACCTTTGTGATGCTTTACTTTACCCCAAATTCTTTCGTTGTGTTTCATGCATTGGAATTTTATAATGATTTTCTTCGATTGGTAGATATAGGGTTAAAATTGCATTTTGTATCAGGGACACTTCATTATGTTTCAAGTATAAATACTAGTACACTGAACTCATTGGAATCTGCTAGGGGCCATGTCCTGAATGGTTTTCATGCTTACCAATTAGTATCTAATCATTGCTTAGCCAAAATGTTGAGTATTCGTAATTATTACATTATATGACGTCAAAATCAGTTTTTTGTTTTCTGAAATGCCCTATTTTTTCAGGTTGTTTTTAAGCTATATTTCATATTTTCTTGTTTATTTTTTGAATGCTTTTAAGTATAGTCTAGGGCATGCACTATTTCAACTAAAAGTCCTTTACTCAACAGGCTAGAAGTCTTGAAATGCAATGTCAAATTGGTGAACACAAGTTTCAAGATTGCCAAAGAAAAATTGAGGAGGCCTGGTCACTGGCAAGGGAGGAAGCTGCAAAGTGTAAAGCAGCAAAGGAGATTATAAAAGCTTTGGCAGTAAGGGTAATTTTTCTTTTCTTGCTATTATGTGGGGGTGATGAAAAGACTTGTTCTTTGCAACTTGTGGAAAATTTACACTTCATCAGACTCGTGTTTTTAGTGATATTTTCTTTTAATCTGAACTTCAGATAACAATATTTTATGCCTTTTGATTCCATAAAATTCTTAAATAAGTAGACATTGTATAATCCATATTTATGTGAGGATGGGGTGCTTGGAGTCCATAGATGAAGTGGTATGTAAGAATGTGGTGGAAAAGTTCTTGCTAAAACATTAATATTGATCATATGCTAAGGGTTCATGAATGTGGCAAAGTTGCTAAAGGGTTATTAGGGATACAAATAACACAAATTTGAGAATTGCCAACAAAAAAAATTACAATTATAGTTTCTATGTTTGAAGACCAATCACCCAGTGATCATTGGAAATCAGTTTTTATATAATTCCATCCATACATGCTCAGCAGTCTTTGATATAAATCTTACTGGTGCAGCTTCACACTATGTCAGAAAAAGTCGCTGCTGGAAGAGAAGCCAAAGATGGGGTGGTTGCGGATCTTCCTCAAGTCACTACTGTGCAGAAAAATAGTACCAAGCTTGACGCCTCACATCCTATGTTTACTGCTACTAATGTGCTTCCTGAAGTTAAATTACCGAAAGAAAGGAAAGTAGATAGTCTATGCAACTCTCCTATTGTGTTCTCTGATACTTTGAAATCAGTGTATGGGAGAGACTTTCACCATGACAACAGTTATAGATCAGTCGAAGATTCACATGTTGCAAAAACAGAACCTCAACAGAAGGGTACTAAGTCATCGAAGCCTGAATGGGTAGAACAGTGTGAACCTGGCATATACATCACATTTACAATTTTGCAAAGTGGGCAGAAGGGTTTAAAGCGCGTAAGATTTAGGTAATTTCCTATCAACTGATCGACCATATGTTTTGAAAGTTTTACTTTTTAGTTTTCTCAGTAGAAATTCTTGTGTAAATAGCCTTACCAGTGCATTATATATGTTACATGTATCAATTTGAATTAGAGTTGAATTGACAGTTGTTTCTCTTTCTTCTATGTTTTCTAGTCGGAAGCGATTCACGGAGAAGGAAGCGGAGCGATGGTGGGATGAGAATCAGGTTGTAGTGTACCAAAAGTATGGTATCGAGGAATACACAAATTCAAACCAAAATCAGATGAAGTGCTAATTTTTACACTAACTTATTAAGAGCTAATGTTTCCCTTCCTGAAGTGGACTCATAACCCCATGCACCTAAAACAAGAGCAGTGCAGGGGCTAGTTGAGTCTTCTTTTTCGGCTTGGCTCACTTATAACAACCAGGTGAATGATGTTGTTATATTTTTGAGAAAGCTTTTGGTGCATAAGATGGAATTTTCTTGTATTTAATTAGCAAGTATCTCACTCTCCTGCATTTGCTGCAGAAGTTTCTGTGCATATTAATCAATGTAAATGATTGGAAGACCTACTGATAAATTAAGAAGCTGTACTTCGATTTAAAATTTCAGGGTTCTTCATTTTTGCTTGTTATTAATTTTATACTGTTAATCATGGGACCAATGTCGTAATCTGGAAAATTTTAATTTCAGCCATTTGAAGCTAACGATATGTCCAATGTTTCATGAAGAAGTGGACAGTATGTACCCAGCTGCATGTGGATTGTTACAAATAGCTTTATACAACATAACAACTCAACTACCTTAATGACGCAATCATCGTTATGGCATTGTTGGGAGAAAGGAATAATCCTCCAAGTCCAGTAAGAAATCAAATTGGACTTAAAAAAGCATAAAGCATTTTTAAAGTAAGTTTTCGGCTTTTAAAGCTACAATAAGGCCCAATTTGAGCCTAATAAAGATCGAAATAAAATGCAGAGCTTCCAAATTTCAACACACTAAGAGAATCATAAAGTGCCAAAGTCCACTTACAAATATACACGCACAGGTAATTCTATTTTTTTCAGGATTATGCTTAAATGGATTCATTTTAGTCTTATGCAATAAATCTGTATAAATCCGTTTGAGCATCTTCATGACAAGAATAGTATCATGATGTCTTGATTAGAGAATAATAATAATAATAGTAATAATAATTATTATTATTATTATTATTGGGTGTGTTTATTTTATTATTTTGGGTAGAATTTTTGAAAAAGTTGAGTTGGATAGTTATCATTACGAAGTAGGATTTGAAAATTAACAAATAGGTTTGTTAAGTTACTAAATCCTCCTACAATAAAATATTAAAAATTAACAAAAACTCTCTCACCTACCTATTAAATGTCGATAGTTGGCCACCATCGCTGGAGGGTGGCCAGAAGTCGTCGTAATGGTGCACGACCGGCTGGATCTGACTGATCGTGTAATACCCTGTATGGAATTTTAATAAATTTTATTTTGTGATTTTGGGGGTAAAGTGTAAGAATTTGAAAGTTTAGGGGGAATATATGTAATATCTGAAACAAGTGAGGACTAAATTAAAAATTTTCAGATATTTTGATGAACAATAACCATTCAAAGAGAAGAAAAATGGAGAAGAAGAAGGAAAACAGAGGAAAAGAGAGACAAAAAAGGAGAGAAAGAAAAGAGAGAAAAGAGAGAAGGAAGAAGAAGAGAAAGAGAGGAAGAAGAAAAGAAAGAAGGGAGAGACAGATGAATCCGAGAATAGAAAGAGAGAGGAGAGAAGAGGGCGGCGGAGGTTGTTGGAAAAGTGGCCACCGGCGAGCAAAACTCCGGTGATCGGAGAGTGGAGGAAGATCAAGCATATGAGAGGTGAGTGAAACTTAAAATTTCCCTCTTTGATGAGTTTTAGTTCATTAGATTTGTGTTGGTTATAATTGAGTATAAGGACATGAGATTACACTAAAACGGGAAGATTGAGTTTAATAATGTTATGTGGATTGAATACATATGTGTTTCCTAAATAAAATTTGGTTAAAGATGTGATTTTGATATAAGAGTTTACTGTACAAAAATATGACTATCTGGAATTCCGAAAATTGTTTGTATGTTTTGGGTTTTTGTTTGAAGCTGAATTTTGGATATGTTGTTGTAGACTTCTTGAGGAGTGTTTATAAATTTATTTCACTAGAAAACTTGAAGAATTGAATTTTATATGGATTTTTGAAGTTGCCTTTTGAATTCTGGAATTTTCGTTTTCTGCAGAACATGTATATTTGGAAAATGGTTTGATGTATCTATTCTTATCAAAATTGAGTGATTTTAAATTCTGTGAATCCTATATGTGTCTAGTTTAATTCTGGGGAGTTTCGTGAAGTTTCGATTAAAGGCTAAATTTTTACGAATTTTCAAAATCAATAACTTCAATTCTGGAAACAGTTGGCAGATTTGAATGAGTTGAAAGAAAATTGTGTTTTAAATAGTTATTGATTCTAGAATGACTTGAGAAAATTATTGAAACAACTTATGTGTCTCTAGAAATCCCCATTAAAATTATGGCTTAAATTGATGAATGAAATTTTTATGAAAAATTCGAGAGCGACCGATGTTTGGTTATGAGACAGTTTTGTTAAAGAAGAAGTTATGTTAATCTTTTGGGGTGTGAAGTGTCCTATGATTTTAATATTGAGGTGTTACCTTAGGGGGACTTATGTATGGAGGATTTATTGGATTTTGTATATAGGGAGGCAAGCGGGGGCATTGTTAGAGGATTTCAATATTTTTCGGCTTAAGGGTGGAGCTCTAAAATGGTGAGTGGAAAAAAAATCTAAAACCTTAACTTTCATTTTAATAAAAGTTACCCTAAATGTTTATTTATACTTGTTTATTGTTTTAAATTGACTAATATGTTTGATTTCTTTATATAAATGAGCTTTATTGCAATGTTATTGTTGGAAATTGTTGATTGACATGAGAAAGATGAAATTTTGATGCTTTTGGGCAATAGTTTGAAAAGAAATGAAAATGGGTTGAAATTGTTAGATTTGAAAGCATTTGAGAACTTGCATTTAAATTTTTACGTTACATGAGATGTTATGAATTTTATTATATGCTTATGAGAAAAATGTTTTAAGAATAAGTATGAAATGTTAGTGGTTTTCAAACCACCCTATGTAATACCCATCCCCCTCATGATATTGATTTGATTCTACGCATGCGTATGATTTGATACTGTCAGCCTCAATGGGTCAAAGGCCTGAGCGAGGCAGATATCGCTACACATGATTTGATATTGTTGGCCTAAGTGGGTTGAAGGCCCGAGCGAGCCAGATATTGCTACACAAGATTTGATATTGTTGGCCCAAGTGGGTTGAAGGCCCGAGCGAGACATATATCGCTACACATGATTTGGTTTGCCGGTCTAAGTGGGTCGAAGGCCTGAGCGAGGCAGATATCGCTAGACAAGATATGATTGTGCCATCCTGAGTAATGCTTGGTCTCACTAGGTCGAAGGCTTGAGCAGTGATCGATTCCGCCTAGTAGGATGGATTTAGTGGTTCAACCCGCGCGATGTTAGATCTTGCTGGGTTGGACGGATTTACCCTTGGGTACTAGTTGGGTGAGAGTTTTCACATGTGATTGAAAGATGGTTTGGATATATACATATATTATATATGTGTATATACATACATAGATATATATACACACACACACACACACACGCACACACACAATGTTTGTGTGTGCGTGTGTGTGTGTGTGTGTATGTACATATATATGTGTGTGTGGATATATATATATATATATATATAATGAAATCTCTTTATATGTGTATTTATTATATACACATATATATGTATATATATGACGCATATATATGTAGTTATTAATATATATGTGTAGTTCTTTATTCCCCAAGAATTTTCATATAAAGATTATCAAAAAGCCTAGTTTTATGCTTTCTGTTTAACACATACAACACATTCTTGGTTTTTTATGTTTGACAAAACTTTTCCAAAATGGTTTCAACAATGGTTCAATTTTTTCGGTTTAAATGAAAAAAATTCTCCCACCTTTGGTTTGGGAAGGATATCAATTGTTTGCAAAAAATTTCAATAACAGTGAAGATCCTTTACTTGCATTTTCCAGCAATTTCTTAATTGCCTGGATAATGAGTTGGCAATTTTATATCACTACACCTCCTCCTCCATAATTTAGAGAATTATGAAGAAAATTCTTTATTAAATGATGGCCTAGCTTTTCCACCCAAAATGTTAGCCCACCAGTAGTGCAAATATGGATATCTCAACACCCTCATCTATGTCAAACTCAACAACAAGCAACATTTCTGATGCAAAAATCAAAGCTTCTGGTTGAGTTGGCTCAATGCCAAACTACTGAAGAAATGGACAAAATTATTATGGCCATTGGATCTTCCACATCTCAAAAAGAAGATTCGGACAATACCAAGTCACCAAGTGATCAAGATGAAGATGACTATTTTGCAATATTCCAAATCAAATAGGACAATGACTCAGCACCGCCGTTATCACATGTGCAAAGCTTTCAGTGGATGTCCAAGACTTTTCAAGATTCTTCTTATCAACACACTTTTCAAGATCCTTATCAACAAGATGTCTAAGACTTTTCAAGATTCTTCTTATCAACACACTTTTCAAGATCCTTATCAACAAGAAGATTTTCCCAGTTTCTCTTTATCACATGTCATCTACAGAAAGCAAAATTGTCAAGATTCCCTGCAGAATTGAAGACTTTCAAGATTGCCCTTATCAATAATATTATTTTCTTAGCCAATATCAGAATAGGTCCTCAATAATTCAAGACACGTTTCCAAGACAACTCATCACCTTATCAACAACTTTATCTTTTATTCTGTATTGTAATTATGAAGACGGATTCAAATGTTGTTCCTATATATATGTAGGGACTATAAATTTTTGGTCTCTCTAATTTTGCAGTCTATTTTTCATTCTGCTCTTGCCATCTAAGTGATACATATTTATACTACAAAAGTCCAGATTTCAACAACATTTGAATCCGTTTTCATAATTACAATACAGAATAAAAGATAAAGTTGTTGATAAGGTGATGAGCTGTCTTGGAAACGTGTCTTGAATTATTGAGGATCTATTCTGATATTGGTCGACAAAATAATATTATTGATAAGGGAAATCTTGAAAGTCTTCAATTCTGCAGGGAATATTGACAATTTTGCTTTCTGCAGATGACATGTGATAAAGAGAAATTGGGAAAATCTTCTTGTTGATAAGGATCTTGAAAAGACACATATATAGGAACATATATGTGTCTTTGTTGTTGATATATATATAGTCTATTTCCAAGAACTGTGTTGCAGGATCATTAAAATCTTGAGGGATTTTTTTAGAGAAACATGAGCATTGATTTGATTACCATAATAGTTTTCAAAAAGAAGTTTTGCAATGAGAGACTTCAACATTTGTTATGAAAGATGACTTATATTATAAAATGTGTTTATGGAAATGAAATTTTATAAGCATGAATGTTTTATTGTATATTGAAATCTTTTATTGCATACTAACC